GGGGCGGGGGCAGGGGCGGGGAACGTAAAACCCGCCCCGTTGCCATGTCTAATCGTTACAATGGCCTAAGAAAATCGTGTTTGCTCATTCTGATATATGGAGGAAGAATCATTATCACACACCTTTTTTTCTTGCAGGGGAATTGATAGGTTATTGATAGAATGTTATAATTGGTCTTTAATATCATCTGTTTTACCAGAAAAATTAGAACAACATTCCAACCAAGCACCATACTTGTGTTCAACTCAAAAATGGCAAGTAGTGTGGATTGCAACTGCATTTTCAGGGGAAAGACTTTTGAAAGAGAGAGCATGAGAGATCACATAGCATGGACTTGGCTAGGAATCCACATACACCTATGTAACACGGATTTGGACATGACATCAAGACACAACACGGATATAGACATGAGAATATAACAAATGCAAAAAATATAGAACACGTAGACACGAAATACATATAATATATACTAAGTCTTAAACAAATTTTATAGAGGTATTATAGTCTACAACAATTTTTTTTTAAAATCTTGAATATTCCTTTATTTGTTTATTTTTATCAAAGTATTTATTTAAATATCTCAAATTCTCCATTTTTTATTTATATTTTTATCAATTCTTTTAGAAAAAAAATACTCAAATTTCCTTTTTTCTATTTTTATTTATATATATATATATATAAAACGAATCCACTTATTAGATAGTTGGGTCACATAACATGAATACTTATTTATTTGTAAATATTCGCGATAAAGATATGTTAATTTTATAGATATTTACAATAAAGACGTATTTAATTTGTATGGAGAAATATGTGGAAGTATGTGCGTGTGTAATGTGTCCCCTTCAAAAGGGTGTTAGAGTCAAAGACAACACCCTCTCAAGTCGTGTCCGTGCAATATACCCTCAGACACCGATTCCAATTTAACTTTGATCAATGGGCTGCTGATCCATGTGCACAAGGTCAAACTAGGCGGTGGGTAGATTTACATAGATATGGCTTCAAGATTGTGATTATGGGACACAAGGTATGTTCACTACTTGCCATAATGCTTCTGATATTTATATATATAGGCACATTTTGAACCAAATGATGAATTTATGTATTCTTATGAGATTTACAATTCTTTTATTTTCTTAATCACAATTTTAAAAAACTGACTCAATGAATCAAACTAAACTAACTTGTTTTTTTTATTGAGTTGATTTGGTTTTAATTTGTTAATTTTTTTTTCAGAACCCAAATGAATCGATTCAAAAATATTACAATAACAAAAAATGTTTGAATCTAAGATGCCAGGATCTTATACATATTAGCCCCAACTTGCAGTATCAAACGAAATAGTTTTCTCTTAATTTAAGCAGCACATCAACGCCCTTAAATAATTCGGTACAAACTTAGGAATAGTTTTGAAAATATAAGGTCATCGATCAGCTCCCACGCAATGTATTTCAGTAGTTTCAAAGCATTCAATAACACCAAAAGTCATAAAAATACAATTCCATTTAAATAAATTATTTATTACAGGAAAAGGAAAATATTTAATGAAATATATTCAATATTTTTTAATCAGCACTTTCATGATATTCATTTATACAAAAATAAAATAAATTATAATCAACTTTGTTAAGAGAAATGTTAAAACATGATTCGGAAATGATAAAAAGAAGCATTTAATTTGATAAAGAAGACAATTAAGTGTCACTTTTTTCTTAAAACCAACTAGTCAAAAGACTCAAAACAGAGTAAGGATATATCAACACAACATGGTGTTGTAGGCTTCAACATTTAGCGAAAATTAGTTCTTCATTGTACAGTTTTAGAACACTGCGGTCCAAAAAAAAAACATGTGGGGAGGGATTTGATTACTAGTCTGCGAGATTCAATTTTCTAGCCATATTAAATAACAATTTTATAGTTAATTAATTACATGACAAAGAATTGAGTTAATTAAGAACCTTGATGTTTAAATGACTTTCGACTAATACAAAGAGACCGGCAGTGATTAATTTTAATTTTTAAGACTGGCGTGCAATAAAATAAGTGTCTAATTCATAGTTAGTCAGATCAGATCTTATTATTCTTCATTTTTAATTTGTTTAAACAGTTTATCGTCTAATTTCTAATAAAAAAAATAAGTGTCTAATTCACAGTCCGGGCATTAAATACTAATAATTAATTAAATTGTATAAAGGAAATGCAGAAGTATGGGAGTGAATCTAACAATGGAAACTTCTTACGCATGTCGTGACATCTTTGTCCCAATAATAAATAATTTTTAAGCCGTAATCTTTGACAAGTACCATAAAATAGTATTGACTAGACAATTCTTCTGCTTTGAATGTTCATCTCATCGCTACAGAAGTGCGGTGCTCGGTTAAGCTTCAACCACTTATATACTTAACCTCATCTAGGAGTTGCAAATCAAGCATATCAAGTTATCATTGGAATACAAATTCAGGTCTATCATATTCATGTATCTCTCTTTAACACTCTTTTCTACTAAACATGCCTACTTCTAACTCTTTGAGGCCCGCTCCATGTTTAATTAAGACATACAAGTGCTTTTTAAAGTTTTTTTACTTATATGTTTCAACAGAAAAATTCTTAAAAACAAACAGATCTAAGTTAGCTCTAGATAGATACTATTTTCGTGAGTTAGGGTAGAGTGCACATTACTTGATAGATAAAATGTCGTCTAGGGTCTTTTCTATATTACATTCTTACCCTTTTTGAAGGGCACTGCCCCTTATAGTGTTGATCTTGGTGGATTGCAGAGAAATGGAACACATCAAAGATCCATCAATTTACCGCAATCCCGTCATATTGCAGAGCGAGGATTTAACCAAGGTTTGTACAAGAAACCATCATGAAAATTTTCTCTGTTTTCTTTCCTGGTGTGTTGACACTTCACACTTGACAGACAAATATCTTGATTCATTAAATGAAAATTCATCTTCACAATTGATGTGGCAGTATATACTGGAGACTGCTGTTTACCCTCGAGAACCTCAGCCACTGAAAGAGTTGAGAGAAGCCACTAGGAATCACCCTTGGTAATTATTGTGACTGTAACATGTGCATTTGATTTGAGACTGAAAAGAGAGAACAAAACTAGTAATGATTCAACTTCTTTTTCATATCCAGGGGCTTCATTGCTACTTTACCGGATGCGGGTCAGCTAATCACCTTACTTTTGAAGCTGTTGAATCCCAAAAAGACCATTGAAGTGGGAGTGTTCACTGGTTACTCCCTTCTCCTCACTGCACTCAACATTCCTGATGATGGAAAGGTTTGCATGCTTAAATTTCCATCAATCTCTTATTTAATAACCCTGAATACTAGGCTAATTACCTACCTCAAAATTAATTGGTGTTGCAGATTACCGCCATAGATATTGACAGGAAGGCTTATGAGGTTGGTTTACCAGTCATCAAAAAGGCTGGAGTAGAGCACAAGATTAATTTCATTGAGTCTCCTGCTTTACCAATCTTGGATAAACTACTTGAAGATGTAAGCATGTTTCTTCTCTACGCTTAGATTCCATGTTAACTAATAATATATATATATAAAAAATTAGTATATGCAAGTGAAAAATAACTCTCACCTCAGCAAAATTTAAAAATAATATCAAAATCTATCCTAATTGTTGTTGTGGAGTGTATTAGGTAACTCATTATCAGGTTGTTATCATGAGCAAGTTTTTAAGATTGAATTAACTCTAAATCCAAAATTCTAAAAGACATTGAATGCATGATGTGTTTCCACTTCAAAGTCCACGTTGTTAAAGTGCTTTCATCAGTTGCTGATGTTTCTCTTTGTTCTAAGAATTTTTTTGAATATTTTGGCGCAGCCTGCAAATGAAGGATCATTTGACTTTGCCTTCATTGATGCTGACAAAGAGAGCTACGTGAACTACCATGAGAGGCTTATAAAACTGGTCAAGATTGGTGGGTTACTTGTATATGACAACACACTGTGGGGTGGACGTGTTTCTTGGCCTGAAGACAAAGTTCCACCACACGCTAGGCCAGGGAGGGACGCTGCAATTGAATTTAACAAAAAAATCACAAAGGATTCTCGAGTTGAATTTGCTCTTACTTCCGTAGGGGATGGACTCAATATTTGTAGGCGTATTGCTTAACTTTTCTGCACTAAACTTGTTTTCTTATCAATAATCAGTGTTTCATCTACTGATATTATATATTTGTACTACCTACCCGAATAACATTGCATTTTGTGTTCCTAATAAAGTTATGGTTTCGATGGAAATGGAGAAATTGATATAAGTCTAGCAGCTATTATGTCAATTCGGAAAAATTTAGATTGTTCTAACTCTGAAAAGGAACTAATTGATAGTTTGATCAAATGGTCTACTTGCGAGATGTTGTTTAACTAGGATGGTTCTGTTTACATTTTTTCCCTTTGGACTATTATTACAAAAGATTATAAAAAAGATGCAGAGAGGAGAAAATTGTCAATGCCCTTTGACGTGTAAAAGTGTAAAACACTTATTCCAGAGATCCTAAAACACAACACAATTAAAATGAACTTGACAGTAATACATGTTGAACCTCCATCAATAGAAGCAAATGTTTCAGCAACCAACAGAGGGAATGCTATAGTTGCATATCACAGTGTACCTGAGTGAATGCAATAAAAAAACATTTAAGGGATATAGATTGTTGCATGTTTGTTACCATTGTATAATTCATGCATATTAACAACGTGGTTAAGCTGTCAAAGATTTAAGCATACGTGGAGAAAATGAAGGGAACTTTAGACTTTAGTGGATGCTCTTGGTTGGTTCACCCATGCACTCTGCACTTTCTTCTAATTGCATTACATTTTTGGTTTCACACTTTCTATTAGGAAATTCTTTCATTATATATGGATTATTAAAATGTGAGATTTTTGAAAAATCTCAACCTTTTTTTTACAAACAATCTCACAACTTTATACATAATTACGTGATAACATAATTTCTTATTCCTTTTTATTGTTACGAATATCTTAAGCATATGTGCTTATATAAGTAACTGTACCTAGATAACCAACTGTACCTAGATAACCAGTGCCATATCATTGGTTCTAACACCAATTGAGTGAAATCTCGTTTCTTAACTTTAAAAAAACTTGAATAAATAATCGCATTGGAAATGTTTTAACATAATATCATAAACTTTTTTTTTCTTAATTTTTGTTTCAATATACTTTTACTCTCTTATTATTCTGTTTATACAAAAATAATATTGTTAAAGAGAATAAATTTAGAGAGAAATTTTGTAAGAGTATTTTTACTTAATCAAAGTATTATTACTCGATTAATGCTACAAATCATTATGTTATTCAAATCGATAAAAAAAAACCTAACACAACTTCAAAAACTTCCTTTTAAATTTTATTTAAATGTTTTTTCAGTCTCTTATTATTCTGTTTATACAAAAGAAAGATTATTGAAGAGGTAGTTTTAGAAAGAAGTTTTAATCAAAGTGTGTCCCTTTAACATAGAAAATAATAAAATAATTGTTAATAAATAGATTTTATCTCCTTTGAGTCATCAACTTTATCATCCCATTTAAATAAAAAAAGAAAATAATAGTTGCTAATAATATATTTATCTCTTTTGACTGGGACTAAAATCGACCGTTATAACTTTTTTTTTTCTTCTTTTTTTTCCAAAAGTAAATATTATAACTTTATCTTCTGACTTGTATTCTTCACATTGACTTCATCTTCTTGTCTCTATTTATCTTCTTTGCATCTAGATATGATCATTATCTTCTTTCTAAAAGTGGCTATTACAACTTTATCTTCTGACTTTATATCTTCATTTTCTTATCACTAATTATCTTTTTTTGGCATAACCGCCATATCTTTGAATTTTTTAAACTTGAATTTGAATTTTTTAATTAAAATACATAAAACTAGTTATTCACGTTGCTAAGGCATATATGTTAATTTCACAGAAAAGCGTAACACCAAGTAGCCAAAACGATATAAGTGTTCCATTTTGCTCAATTCATACGTTAAATGTTATAAATAAGTCCGCCTAAGATTAAAAATATATATATATATATATATATATGTATATATATATATATATATATATATATATATATATTCAAAAAGGATTATAAGAAAAGGATAAAAATGAATATCTCCTTCAACTTTCATAGAGGATAAGAGAAGTTTATGAGAAGAAAAAAAAAAGTAAAGTACAATGTAACCATTTTACATCTTATTTTGTCTTGGCCTCTTGGGTGCGTGTTAAAAGGTTTATAGTCTACAGCTTAAATTACTATTAACAAAACTTGTAAAAAAAAACTAATACAATCTACAGTTTTAACAAGGAACGATCGTTGCCCTGATTTTAGTTCACAGACTCCACCGTATACTCATTTTAACCACAATTTTTTTTTTAAATTCGAATATCAAAGTCTCATCCAACTTTGTCTAGGGTTTGCAAGAATAAAATAGGTGCAGAGCTTCACTTTTCATTATGTTTCTCACTACCTCAATTTAGAAATAAAAGCAAACTATTGCAGGCATTATGTAAACTAGACTTTGCAATGCAATGGTAAAGAAGAGCTATAATTCGAATAAGTCGTACTATTATAGCTTTTCACCAACATGAAATGTAAAAATATCAAAAGTACCATATATGATCAGGTAGTTTTTGTAACCTTATTTGCCCTATATATTAATACAGTCATCCACAGTTCCAATAAAAAATGATCATGTAATCCATTACTCCTTACTTCCCACACTGTCGGGATTAATGGATTAATTTGAATGGTCAAATATTCCTAAATGGTCTCCTATGCTAAGTGAAGCTTGGAAATCAAATGATAGTCAAATTGAATACCAATGGCAAACTGGTCCATCAAGATCCTCAAACACAACTAAAATGAACTTGACAGTAAATTCGTCTTTAACCTCCATCAATGGTGAGGTTTCACTCTTGAAGCAAACGTTTCAGCAACCAACAGAGGAAATGCGATCGTTGCATCACAGTGTACCTGGTTTAATGCAATAAAAAGACATTAAAGGGATACGGTATTGCTGGGTGTTTGGTGGCATCGTTTAGTTCATGCATATCAGCAACATGCCAACACGGTTGAGTTGTCAAATATTTGTTAAATGTTGGTTTTATAGTAAATGTTTAAAACTCCGACAAATATAACTAAAAATGACTTAATATTCGGCAATTCAACGTATTTAAGATGTTGATATGCATGGCTACAACAGTGTAAGAACTTATGATCCTTAAGCAACAGCATGCATGGAAAAACTTAAAGGACTAAAACAAGAAAACCAGTTGCAGAAGTATGCACTAGGCATAGGATTACGATGTACCTTAACAGTCTTAGCAGATCCTCTTATTTTTCCCCATGAAACAGCCTCATCTGGACGAGCTCCAGAATCACTCCCATCAAATTCTTGTGCAGTATTGATAAAAACAGCATAGTCTGCACCATTGCGCATCATATTGGCATTGCAAATGTGATGTTTTGGAAGGCCACCTCCTAAAATGATCATTCCTGTCTTCCTGGGATTTGCATGTACAGCTTCACCATTCATTTCCCTTATATCTGTTGTATTGCCAATAGTAATGTTTCTTGGCTATTCAAAATCATGGATGCAGTAAAAAAGTAGAAGGAAAGCAAAAAACCTTGCACTATGTCCACAATCAGACCAGGATTGCGGAATGAATGGAAGTACAACATGTCCCCCAATGAGCCATCAGTTAAGCCCGGACAGTAAACAGGAATGTTGTTCTGGAAAATATCATCATAACTAATATTATGAGATGAGTCGTATTCTGAAATAACCACATTGCGTTTTGTTGATACTAAATAAATGCCACAAAAAATATGGACAACAATATAATTACGAGAAACGGAAGATGGAAAATGATTCGAATCAGAAATAGGGTACAGGAAATAACAATATTTACTAAAAGTCTAATATTGGTCTCATTCTTGCCTTGTATGCCCAGTAAAGGTAAGAGCTTTCGTTATTTATTTCTTTCCCCAATCGAGCTATTAACTTAGATGGTGTCCACAACACATTCTGCAGAAAAATTAAGTGTCAGATAAAATTTACAAGTGAAAACTAAAAGAGAACATGCTTTGTAAAAAGTTTGTCATTCAATTGTACAAAATATTAGTTTAATTTGATATAGGCTAGCACAAACTAGACATGAGTTTGTGCTAATACTAATAGAAATATTATAGTTTAATTTGAATTAATACTAATACTAATAAAAATTACAAATACAGAAAGCATGGACGATAAATGCCACTCATGGTGTTTGACTAAAACCAAAACATAAATTTTCTAATGCATTGAACAGAGAAGTATAAAAATAAAATACCTCTGTATTTTGCTCCCTCAACATGTTATCAAAAATTGGAATAATCCAGTCCTCGAATTTGCAATAGTTGTCATTAGGGACCAATAAATTACCAATCCGATTCAACCCTTTTGAGCGCAGATAGGCTCCAGGCAGAGAGAAATCTCCTCTATATGTCGGTGCAAGGCACTTTATAAGATCTTCTTCAATGCCACCTGTAGTTGTAACAACTACATCAACCTACAAATTGCGGAATACATGTCAAAAAGGATTCAATAGCATGACTTGAATTTAATATTTAACAAACTCACTTTAGCAACTTACTCTTTAATAGGATTAAATATGATTTTTTTCTCCTAAACTTTTGTCGGTTTTTACTTTCACTTTCGTCTCTGAACAAATTTTTTTTGGTTTTATTTCCTGAATTTTTTAACATGAACAAAAAACTTTGATGTCAGGACCAAAATGTTAAAGGAAGTATACCGTATGGTGGCTGAGTAGGCCGAATACCCGAGCCCGCGAGTGATTAGGCCAAGGACCCGACCCCTTAATAATTACGCCGATCACCCTAGCCCACCGACCACTTATAAGCGAGTGAAACGTGTCGGGTTGGTCGGTCAATCTCTGTGCCTTTGCCAGACCGATTATAGAGTTTAATTAGCGTAATACATTGGATTAACCCCCTAATTTTCCGGGGCCCAATCCTTAATCACGGCCCAACACCAGCGTCTATAAATAGAGCCCCAACGAGGTACGTAATTAATTTTTCAACTACCGCATTTATTACGCCGAACACTTACTTGAGCGTTGGAGTGTCTTTGCAGGCACACCCCACCCTCACATCGGACCACCCGGACAAGAGCGAGAAGACCGTAACCCTACACCTGACCCGAGACGACCAAGATAATTGAAGTGTGTGTCCTAACTCAGGATCAGGAAGAAAAAGTTCTAAGACTTGAAAGCGAAAATCAACGGGCATTAAAATTAGTTAAAATTTAATCATGACTAAACAAAAATTTACAAAATTTTTAGTACTACAAACATATATAATGCTTAATTCAATAAGAACATATATTGATGTAAGAGACACAATTTATTATGAGTTAATCACCAGTTTTTTTTTTTTTTTTTACATTGACAATCAATTGATATGATATTACTAAAAAATATAATTAATTGTCGTGTAAAAAACTTTACAAGTGAGTATATATATAGGAAGGAAAATTAACCCACCATGCGATGCTGAAGAAGAAACCGCACAGTATCTCTAACACCAGAGGAAATAAGATTGGAAGTGAAACCCAGAAACACTTTACACGTCACACATTTTCGGTTCTCCAAAATCAATTCCTGTCCGCTGCATTCGTCGGTTATGGGTTCATCAGACAACCTCCAATCTAGCTTCAATTCAAAAACGGCAATTTTATAAGCGCAAAAGCACAAAACGACGTAAACAAAGAGATAGTAGGGTTAGAGAAGAAAAAAAAAAAAAAACCATTTGATTAACGACTTGGATGGCATCACCGAGGTTCGAAGCCTGAAAACCAGTGGCAACCATAGACTTGAGTAGCAGCGGATAATTGACGCCAAGGTTGAAGTCATAACCCTCAATCTTAACACACTTTCCATCGAGGTTTTCTGACTCCTTGAACACAATGGAGTGAACTGATGCTAACACTTCTTCTTCTTTTCCCTTTCCCTTTTCCTCTCCCATTATTCTCTCTTTTTTCAGCGCACAACCAAGACCGTGTTTTTATGTAAGGCCTTTAAATTTAATAATTCACCAAAAAAAAATATATAAGGCCTTTAATTGGGCCTCTCTGTGTTTTAATTGGGCCTTTTAAGTTTACCCTTTTTTCTACGGGCCAAGCCCATTAGGGTTAGGGTTATGTTATATTTGAGTGGAGACCCCTCTTTCGTTCTCTGTTTAGTGTTGAACGCTGCCGAAACCCTTCCCAATCCCTAAGGTTTCTCTTCCTCTCCGATTTTCTTAGAAAATCTTAAATTTCGTAGGTTTTGCGACGTAATTTGTGACAGTGTTGTATTTTGTTGTGCAGGTAAGTGAGTGGTGGGAGAGTGAAAATGGTGGAGAAGGCCAAGGGTAGAAAGGAGGAGGTGGTGACCAGAGAGTACACCATTAATCTCCACAAGCGCCTCCATGGCTGGTAATCTATCTACCTTTTCTTTTCTGATTACTGTGTTTTTTCTGCATTATTAATGTCTATTTATTAAATTGAACCAACTTCGATTCTTTATGCTCCAATAATCACTTTAGATGTGCTTATTGGTTTATGCTAAAGCTGAAAGAAAAATTGTTAGTAACCAGTCCTAGCAAAGTTGAGTGGTATACATGGTCCTTTGGATCTAGTTTTTCGTGGTTATAGAATATTAGAGATTAGAAACCATAGCAACCATAAATAATTTTTTTTGTGCCTTTAGGTTTTTTATCTTTAGTTTTATTTCTTGCGTTTCATTTTGAGATCTGTCAGGGCATTGATCTAAAATTCATCTTCGTTTGATATTAATAAATAATTGCATAAAATATTTGTTTATTATGACCTAAGTCTTTTTATTGCTTTTATGTTTTGTTGATATTAGTAGTCTTAGTGGTTCTTGTTTGGTTTGTTCTCATGTAAAACAGCACATTTAAGAAGAAGGCCCCCAAGGCGATTAAGGAAATTAGGAAGTTTGCTCAAAAAGCCATGGGGACCAATGATGTGAGGGTGGATGTGAAGTTGAACAAGTATGTCTGGAGTCAGGGAATCAGAAGTGTTCCAAGGAGGATTCGGGTGCGCATTGCTCGCAAGAGGAATGATGATGAAGACGCCAAGGAAGAGCTATATTCTCTTGTCACGGTTGTTGAAATACCCAAGGATGAGCTCAAAGGGTTGGGCACCAAGGTTATTGACGATGAAGATTGATTTATCTGTTTGAAACCTTGAGACATATAAGTAGTTTTTTGTTTCCGCAATTGAGTCGTCTTTTTTAGATTATCAAGTTACTCCTAATTTTGTTGAGCTGCTTCGGATTTTGTTGAGACAATGTGGTTTGATAATATCAATTTAGTTTTTGCTCTTGCTGTTGTGTTTGTGTTAATGAAAACGAAACATTGATTTTGGCCTTCATTCCTTGTGTCTTGGTAATGAGATGATGAAGAATTGTATACACTGGGTTTTAATAAAACAATTGTTATGGAAAAAAAATGGAATGAGGGAATTTAGGGTTTGTTTTTGCTGTTTTACTGGGATGAGGGAGTATTGTGGAAGCCATTTGAATGGAATATAAACTTAACAATCGGCAGTTGTAAGATTAGTATCAGCCGAAATTTAAAATTTAGGTTTTTGAAGTTGAACTGCTTTTCAGCTATTGAGGATTGTTCACGGTTTGTATTAAAAGTTTACACTTGCCTCTAGCTTGAGTGTATACACAATTTATTTATTTTTATTTGAAGCGAAAACGATCAATGTTAATGTAAATTAGTGAGCATTGTTGATGTAAAGTAATAACTTTTCGAAACACCAATTGTTGGCAAAAACTGAACCTGACGACGCACGGAAACAAATGATTGTTCATCAAGGTCTCCTTGTTACATTTGAAACAGCCTTTGTTCAGGGTTTGTAATCAAAACAAACCCAAGATTATTGGTAATCCTAATTGGCATTCCAGCAGCAGTGTGGATGCGAGCAGTGTGACAGCTGCAAGAAATAGTATATGATCGACAAGCTTGAGCTGAAGAAATATGTTCCAATTGTATTAAAGTAAAACGCCATCTTGTTGAGTTCGCAGAATCCACATAAAAAAAGCCTTTATCAATGAATCAGGTTTCGACTATCCGGTGCCCCGATTTTAATATCATCGCTGATTAATTGATTTTATTTTTTATTTTCTTAAATTTAACTATTATGCAATCCCTACCCTAGTCTCTGCCCCAGTTCATTATATTTTTTTGCCTTCCTTAACCGAGAGATCATGATAAAGCCCCTGGGACATATTTTGCAGGTGGTTACAATTTGTTACAGAACGACTGGTCATTTTCCCATTCTGATTGATAATCTATAACTATCCAAATTTACAAAATTCTAAATTAAATTGATTACATGTATTTCCAACAAAACTCAAGTTGGCCATGGGTATTGAGTGATTATGGCCGATGGGCTGCTGACGGGTATTGAGAATTGCTTGCTGTGCCTACAGCTCGAGTTCATGCAGAAGTTTTCAGAACACCAAACTGTGGATGACTAATCTTAGAAACTTTCAGAACACCAAATTGCTGATACAATATGATAATATACATTGTGGTGTTCGCCATTCACCAGTAGTCCTTACAAGAACAATTTCCATTTTCAAAATGGTGAAACCGGTTTGTATCTCTTAATACAACTAGTCTCTTCGTGACTTTTGAAACAGCCTTCATCCAGGAATGACAATCAACACAAACCCGGAGATTCTTGGTAATCCTAATTGGCATTCCAGCACCAGTGTGGATGAGAGCAAATACAGCTGCAAGCCGTTCACTGTGCTCACAAACCCATATTGCCTTCATCTCTTCATTTATATCATGGAGAACAACACCCGTGTTAGGGGTATATCCCAAGTCATTAACAGCATTTGACAACTGGTTCCAAATTTTGATATACTCGGGGGAACAACGAAAATCTGAGCTCCCTCCAGCAACAAATGTATGAATCTTGCGCTTTATTTGTATCCAACTACACCCAGCATCTTTCTTGATTCCCATCATGGTCATCATTTCCCTAACTCTCTTCACATCTTCCCACATCCCTGCATTTGCATATATGTTTGAAAGCATCACATAATTCCCTGGATTGTTAGGTTCAATCTCAAACAACCGCCCTGCAACCATTTCAGCTAGAGGAACATTTCCATAAAGCCGGCACGAGTTAAGCAACGATCCCCAAATGCTGCCACTGGGTTTCATTGGAATGTTCTCTGCCACGGTTAATGCCTCATCAAGTTTCCCTGACCTACCTAATATGTCCACCAAACATGCATAGTGCTCTAAAGATGGTTGCACCCCATAATCCTGCATCACACTAAACAATCTTTTTCCCTTACTGGTAAGTCCCGAATGGCTACAACCCGACAGCAAGGAAACAAAGGTGATGCCATCTGATTCAATGCCAGACCTCATCATTTCATCAAACAAAGCCAACCCTTCATTTATTTGACCATTGATTGAATACCCAGCCAGCATTGTATTCCATGATGTCAAATCCTTGCTGTGCATTCTTTCAAACACTTTTTCACAATAACCAATTACTCCACATTTAGCATACATATCCATCAATGAGTTGAGCAAAGGCACATCAGCATTCTTCCTAGACTTCAAAATCTGCCCGTGTATCTCCTTGCCACTCTGAAGTGCAGTAAACTGTGCACAAACCGGCAACACAGTTGTAAGTGTAATCCAACTGAACCCCATTCCCTCTCCCTGCATAACTCTAAAAGCACCAAGCGTCTCAAACACTCTACCTTGACCAGCGAAACCCGCAATCAAAGTGTTCCAAGACACCACATTTCGTTGAGGCATTAACTCAAACACCTTCAAGACCTCATCAAAACACCCACACTCCACATAGAACCCCAAAAGCGCATTGTTCACAACTTGATCAGTTTCTTCGTCATGCTTAAAAATCTGGGCATGGATTGCTCTCCCAACCAGCGCATTAGCCGAATCGGAACACGCCTTGAGGGCCACGGAAAACGCGAAATTCCCTGGCTTCACACACCGTGACAACATGTCACAGTAAAGAAGCAAAGCTTCACTGGAAAACCCGTTTCTCGAATACCCAATAGCCATAGCTACCCACACCAATTCTGGAGTGTTCTCATCGCCAATTTCGCGTTGGAACACACGACGAGCCTCGTTGACTCTGCCACAAACAGAGTACAATGTGATGAGCTTGCTCTTCAACTTGGGGTTCTCCAAGACTCGGTTTTGAGAACGAAGCAAGTGCAAGTGGAGCTTTCGGCCATGTTCCAAGGACCTTCGGGAGATGCAGGCATGGAGAAAGAGAGAGAAGTCTTCTTCTTCTTCAATGGGTGTGGGCTTCGGTGATTGGATTAGGCGAAGAGCTTCGTCCAAATTGCCCCATTTGCAGAGAGATTTTAGGGTCGAATTGAATGGTGATGTTTTGTGTTTGTGGATATTTGTGGTTCTGGGTGTGGAGGTGGCGGTTATGTTCGTTTTGACAGTTATGTTGGTTGGGAGAGAAATGGCGGGGAGCATGATGGAGACAAAGACAGTGAAGAGACAAGTGTGTTTTTTTTTAAGGTTAGTTCGGAAACTTCAATGAAGATGTCAAGTTTGCAGGGAAAACCAACAAGTTAGTTATTTGGACATGAATTTGAGAACCCTTCTCATGCATTAGGTTGTAGCATCAATGTTATCCTTTCAGTATCACACTGCATCTTACTGCTACCACTTTGCTTATTTGTTCGAGTGCGGCCAACAAATCAAACTCACTTGCTATAGATTTATTTATATCCAATATTTGTTTTATCCTTTTTCTGGGTCCAACAGTAGATTATCTTTAGTTAGAAAATCCAACTTAGATATGTGGATACAAAATGAATATGTAGTTTTTTTATTTTTTATTTTTATTTTGTGGACCTTTACATTGCTCGGGTTGCAACAACAGCAGGTTACATGATAAAATATAGACGAAAGAGATTGGGGGAGTTGGGATCCTCTCCATTATTTTCTGTCCATTTCTCTGGTTTTGAATGTATAAAGGATATTATATGTCAAACATGAAAATGTTAATGTCCTTTATACACTTAAAAAAACTATAAATAGACACTAGAAAATAAGGCATCATTTGGTTTCTTAAGTTCATATAATCCACAGTGGTACCAAGCACATTTCAACCGGGAAATAATCTCCCTTTTTCTTCTAACAACAGCAATGGTAGCTTCAACATCATATTGAGGGCTAGTTTCTCTGAACAAAGGCGAATGCGTCCTTGTTGGGCTTCTTTTCCTTCTTCACCCAACCCCAACACCTACTGGTTTATATGTCCCAATCATCAACTACAAAATAAGGCATTTCTTCGATACTACCCATGAAATATGGAGTTTAATAACCTTGTTATCTCTGGCCATCCCATCACCGAATAATTAAAAAAAAAGGGGAAAAAAACTTGATCAGAGTTTTTCTGTAATTTTAGCATCTTTTACTTTTAAAAAAATAGTTATTAATATACAAACAACATCATTAAAACTCATAATAAGTAAATATCTTTATACATGTAAAAGAATTTATTTATAATAAAAAAAAATTGTAATACGAAACTCTTATAATTATTGTTAATTTATTAAAAGAATTTGAAATATAATTTAAAAGTAGAAATAAAAATAATTCAAAATATCAAGTATATCTATAATAATATATAAAGATGACACAATATTTTTGTATACACATTTTTAAGATATTTTTATTCTTTATTTATTTTAATAACTATACACCCTCTTCTTTTAATGTAAGATAATTCAGCAATTTTATTTATATAAAATGATTTTTTTAAATAAATTATAACATCTCTACATTTTTTTTATAACTTTCACATACGAAGTGTCTTTATCTTTTTGGTAGATAATAAAAAAAAAGCTCTATATATATATATAAATATTTAATTAAATTTCATGCATTATTAAATAGATAGTTAATTTTGAAAATTATAAAAAAAAAACTGAAGTATTTTTTTTAATTTAAGAACTTAATTAAAAAAAATAATGATTAAACTATGTAATAAAAAAACAATGTATTAAACCTATAAAAGAACTACCCTTTTTTAGAGTTAAAAACTAAAATAAACTTTTTTTTAGTGAGTAAAAACTGAAATTAACTTGTTGCCATGGAAATGCTAAAAAGCATGGAGATAGAGAAAATGAATGCGAGCCACGTGGAGGGGAAGAAGAGACAAACAAGTTTCGAAGATGCTTCGTCTTTGAAACACCAAATCAACACGCCTAAGCCATCTTCACCCAAACCCACCGCACTGTCTGTTCTTTTCCCCCTTCCCGGATCCCAAACCCTAATCTCTCTTCAACTTCAATTTTTTCATCTGGGTTTCTTCTCCTTCTCTCCCCTTTTGCTTTCTTCTCTTTGCTTACTATTACAATTCATTCCTTTTCACGATTTAATGGTTCGCTTTTGACAATCTTTTTATCGTTTCAGGAAGATCGCTTGACGAATCGAGGATCTCATCGCTTCCGAGGCTCTAGAGTTTCAATCGATCGCAATCATGTTTAGCCGGGTGTTTGGTAAACCTAAACAGGAAACCAATGCTGTTGCCACTTTGGACAAGTTAAACGAAGTACTTTTATTTTCTCTAAACACTATTTTCCATTTTCTTTTATGCTATGCTCATGCTCTCTGCATATCTCATGAATCCAACTGTTTGTGTTTGACTTTAATCGATTAACGTTTTCTATTTTGCTCTTAGTTGCTGCTACCTTGCTGCTGAATTAGCAAGGTTGTCGCCAATCGCCGTCGCAACTCTGCTTACTCACTTCAGCTATTAACTATGAACATACTTCTGGATTGTTTATTTCTGTGGAGTAGCATTAATTAATTATTTAGAATAAACTCTTTGATTTATTAAATATGTCAATTATGAAGATTTTTAACTTAATCACAGTATTTGACTGATTGATGGAATTGCAAATGAGCTTTTGTTTTGGATGCCCATAACGGGTTGGGCTACTCATGAAATGTCCCTACTCTCATCTGACATGACTATAAAAATTGTTTCTCGTCAACTGATTTGTTAAGTTTGTGAAAAACTTTGTCATCAGAGAGAGGGTAGTTGTTTTCATACTGTTGTTAGTTGCTTCCCTATTTTCTAACGAGAATTAAACAAAGATGAATCCTTTTGTGCTGTCTAGTACATAGTTTTAGTCTAGTTTTTTCTTTAATTAAAGATAGAGCATGCTAAAATATGTATCTAAATGATTATATCGATCTAGGTATGTTATAGTTTTCCTTCAGAAATGGGTTCTTTGCTTGCATTTTGTGAGTATTGTATAACAATTTCTCCATATCCCAGTTAATCCTGTAGTCAATTGGTTACATGATTGTGGAATTTTTTTATTATTTTATTTTTTTACATTAGTATCTCCAAGTGTTCTACTGGCTATATGAGTTTTTATTATTAAATTTTGTTGGTTGTGTTTAGATGCTTTTTATTTGAAATGTACATTTAGATATAGCTGCATCATGTAACTATTGACATGCACGACGTTTATCATTACCCTTTTGTTTATAGCGGGTGCAAAGTTTACATTTACACTTAGAGAGAATTTCACAAGGGGGAATTTGAATGTTTTGTTATTTGAATCATGTAGACACTTGAAATGCTGGAGAAAAAGGAGAAAGTGCTCCTTAAAAAGGTGTCAACAGAAGTTGAAAAGGCCAAAGAATTCACTAGGGGGAAGAACAAAAGAGGTAGATTACTGAATTCATGGCTACTTGTTGTAGAGATTATCTTCAGAGTGCCTTTTTTCTCCAACTTTCACTTATATTGTGATATGTTCTCTGAGTTTTTGTTTTATGCAGCGGCAATACAATGTCTGAAAAGGAAGAGGTTATATGAACAGCAAATAGAGCAGCTTGGAAATTTCCAGTTGCGTATTCATGATCAGGTGTGAAAGCAACTTTCTGTGTAGTTACATTTCAAAAGATGATTTGGTTTATTGAGCATTTTTTGTATCTTTTGATACTAATTTGCATTACAGATGATAATGCTGGAAGGTGCTAAAGCCACCACAGAAACGGTAGACGCTTTAAGAACTGGAGCAGCTGCTATGAAGGCTATGCAAAAAGCAACGTATGTACTGGAGTGCTATTTTTGTTTTAAAATATTTAGTGGTTTATCTCTTTTAACATTTTCTTCATTTCTTGTAAATATCATGCTCTGGTTTATCATATTTATTCAACCATTGATTATGATATATGATGATATTGTTGAGTTGCAACATTTTTTATTTTCAGGAATATTGATGATGTTGACAAGACCATGGACGAGATCAATGAACAGACTGAGAACATGAAACAGATTCAGGATGCATTGTCAGCTCCAATTGGTGCAGCTGCTGATTTTGACGAGGTCATCTTAGATGTTTATTGTATTTGTGTTATATTGTTTGCAAACAAGATATTTGTATCTTTTTGATTGTAGTACAGTAGTAGTGTTATAGAGCACCAAATACCAATGCATGTCCTAGGATCATTCTGAATTTCTTTTCTTTTCAGGATGAATTGGAAGCGGAACTTGAAGAACTGGAGGGTGCTGAGTTGGAAGAACAGCTTCTTCAGCCAGCAACTACAGCTCCTGCAGCCCCAGTGCAGGTCCCAGCTGGTCGGCAACCTACTCGCCCAGTTACTGCAAAGCCCACTCCTGAAGAAGATGAATTGGCAGCATTGCAGGCTGAGATGGCACTTTGAGCAGGTCCCTTTTCTCAGCTGTAACACTATCAAATTGTATTGTAACCTATGCATAGTTTTTGTTTTAGCCCAACTAGTGCTGCATTTATTGTGACAAATAAATCATGTGTATGCTCCATTTTCGTGCTGGAATATCCAACTGTTAATCAGTTTAGTTCTCCTGTATGGTGTATCATAGTTTGAAACGAATTGCTTAAGATAACTTGTGAGAAGAAGTATGAGAATCTTATTTTAGGCTGTTCTTATTGGTTTTGCCTCTGGCTTTGATTAAGCCAGAATTTTGCAGGCATTTTTGTGCATGATGACAAGTGGCTTCAATGAAGAATTGTATCCACTATTATGTGGAGAGTTCTGTTTCTGTCCTGCTCGCTTATCTGTGTGAAATTATTGAACATACCAGAGGATGTATATAAAAGGTGGATAAAAAATTGAACATAGAAGTTCTACAAAACTTACTATTATCTTGGATGAGTTCAAATCCCCTTTTCCATTATATTTATCATATACCGATGCATTTGGTTATTTTATATTGTGTGGTCCAGTTTAACATTCAGTTAATCGATGTATATCTCAAACATGCTACGGCAAAGTACAAGGAATAAGTGTTGACTTGGCCTATCAGCTAGAACACAGCCATGGTTGTGATTAATAATTTTGAGTCTGTAGGAGATTTACAAGCATCACTGTCACAGTAAAATTTTATTTTCTTTATTTTAACAATGATTTAAGTAATTAAGATACTTTTCTTGTTAGTTTTTCTGATCTCTAGTCTCAGTGGAGCACAAAACTTTTCACTGGCAGCCCTCAGCATTATCCTGGGTCAGTGGTCTAGAAGAGTAGAACAGTAGTTAGAGTGTTAGATGGAGCGTAATTTTATTTTCTAGCAGCGTTAGCTTATAACTTCGGTGAAATGGTAAATACTTGTGACATTACACTCTGGTTTTGTTGCTATTTGCGTACTTTATTCCATGTCCATCTACTGTGTCGTTAAATAAAAGCATAATTGCATATAAAAGTTAATTGACCTGAATAACCGAACAGACAGGTTAATAAAGTGAAAATTTAAAGGACAAAACTGGCGCTGTCTCTCTATTTGCATGTTCCGTGTTTTTCTTCGGAATTCATCACTTGAACTCAACTTTTTTATTTATAAAGCTAAATTGGGAGTATTTGAGCCCAAAAACATTTGAATCCTACAATTTAGGAGTATTTTATGTTGCAAGAAGTCAGATTGAAATTAGAATGGGAATCTGTGGTTTAATCTGTTGTCATGACACTTAAATAGTGAATTACAAATTGAATCCTGGGTTTCTAAACTCTAACGAGTGGGAATAGAAGATTATCGTAATTCGTTCGCTTTTCTTCTGGGTTTCTAAATGTAGATGCAGGTACATTCTGTGTGAACATGTGTTAAAATTGTCAGAAACAAGCAATACTAAAGTATTTGAAGTAGTATGCGATGAGTTTATCCAAGATTATAGAAAAACAATTTACGTGTTTTCTTTTACAAGTTGTTAAACTTATTTAAATTAATTTACTGATGTATTTATCAAAATAAACTCTAACTTATTTCAAAGAATTTGACATTCAAATTTAGAACACTCTTATTATTATTTATTATTATTACGTATTTGACAAGCGCTTAATAAGATATTGTGCACAGTACACACACACACTGAGGAAATCAAATAAACCACCTTAATTTAATCATACTCGTCTTTTGATATTCTACCCAAGCAATGTGGAGATCAAATAAATCGCTTTAATTTAATCATATTTTTCTTAATATTTTCATTGTTTAGAGAGTTGGGTTTATCGTCAACCCTTAGAATCTTAGCAACCAAAGATGAATTTAACAATGCAAGTTGTTTTGTGGAGACCACGCGTAAAACACCACTTCTCCTAAAAGCAAACGGAACCTGAAAAGGCAAAAAAGTAAAAGCTGCTTATTCTACCCCTAATTTCAATCCCAACCCAACTTAAATAAAAAAACATGTCGACAACCGTGTCTTTGCCAATTGCCAAAATTTGTTGACAAGAGGTTTCTACGACTCATGCATGTAACTATGAAAATAGATTTATCGAATGATTACTTGAATTTTAACTAATACAATTAATTAATTTACAGATAGAGGTAAGGGAAACCCAGACATCAAGGAGATAAGAAAAAGAATTTCATTGAAAGAATAGCGTTCAAGAAATAAATACAAAAGAGAAAAATTAAAAAGAAAACATAGTGAATAGATGGATGAGATGACAGGTTTCAATGGTCAATGAATGATGTAAGTGAGGAGCAAAGCCAGGAACATTAGCAAATAAGCAATTCCTTGGTCCACTGCAATCCCTGCAAACCCAATTGAAATTGAGACATTGCAATTAGCTATCATGAGAGATGCAAAGAGAAAAACATAATTTTGAGAGGAGGCAACATACCATCACTGGTGGGGGCAGGGGCTGGAGGAAGGATCTGAGCATTGATTGAAGGAGGCAGTGAAGCCAAAACAAGGGCTATAATGGACATGACAAAAACATGAACTCTCAACACTTCCATTGCAACTCTCAAATCAAATTGAGATGTGACTGAAACTAAGGTTTGTGGGTTTATAAGGAGAGAAATATGTGAGAGATAAAAACCGAAGATTGCTTTGGTTGAGAGAATCTTGCCAATGCTGAAGCCACTCTGGCCAGCAATATAACTCAAGAGAACAAGCCTCACTAGCCGTTGACGTGTGCCACGTGTAGGCTCAGGATTTCCCGCACGTTACACAGTCTAGCTGTAGAGTAGAGAATTGAGCAAGACCTCGTCCAACCAATGCATGATGGATTGTTGTTTCTTTTGTTTCTCAGTTGCCAGTCTGCCACATGATTCATTGATTGGTCCAATATGTATGTACAACTGTGTTCCTTTCAATTCAATTTTGTATTAAAAAAATATATGTGACTTTTAATTTTTATTTTATTTTACTAAGTTATTAGCACAAAATATCCTTCATTTTATTAGTAACATATTTTTGTAAGAAAATTTGACCCACCATTTTTAACTAGTCAAGTATTATTTGTTTTTCAAACTTATAAGACAAATTGAACGGTTACTTTGGACGGCTACCGTTGGCTTGGTCTTCATGTGGTGGGGTCATGTATACAACTAATTCTCGACATTAATGCACAAAATAATATTAGCAGTTATATAATAATTGATAATCTCCATAGGAATACACTGTGTTGAACTGTAGGAGTTACTGGTGGTTGAGAACCTGTATATCGATGATAATGAATGATTTTGAATTGGAGTTGGTTATGAATTATGATAAGGATCATTATGTTTCCCAACTAAGGTGAAATTGAAGGTGCAAACATATTGATACCACAGCTCAGAATAAATTTTAAAAACAAAATGCCAATAATACACATTAAATAATAAAGAAAATTAGCATTCTAGTTTGCGTAATATTATTTCTATATAATTAAAATTAAATTTTATAATAGATAAATATTTTTAAATATATAAATTGTCACATTTAATTTTTATATAACGTCAATATAATTTTTTTTACAAAATCAATTAATCAAAAATCATAAATATTAAGAGCAACAGATATTAAGAGTTTTTTTTTAACCATTATATATAAATTATAATAATTTTGTAAATATTTCGCTCTTCTCATTTTTCTTCATGATTATTCTTATTTGAATACTCGTTTTATTAAGAGTGAACTTTACTCTTCTAAAATGCAATTGTGTTTTTAATATTTTTCATATCAAATCAATATTAGGTAACATGCGCTAATTGAATTATATAAAAAAATATTTTTTTTTCTTTAAAATTTAAATATTAATCCGTTAATAGTATTTTTAGTAATTTTTCTTAATCTATTATCTCTTTCAATTTATTATTTCAATTTTCATTTCTAAACTAAAATTTAA